TCGCAACCCTCCCACGCCCTTGCTAGCTTGGTAATAGGCCCAGACAAGTGCAGCCACGTGACCCGGCGGAAGAAAAACGCTCGGAACGAGCGCATCCGGCCCCAAAATGCGGAAGGATCTGCACATGTGCAGGATGTGTAGCGGGCGCTCTTCATTCGCGAGCGCCGATGACCGATGTTGCTCGAAACCCTACCACGCCCTTGCTGGCTTGGTAATAGGCCCAGACAAGCGCACCCACGTGACTTGGCGGAAGAAAAACTCTCGGAACGAGCGCTTCCGGCACCAAAATGCGGAAAGATCCGCACATGTGCAGGACGTGCAGCGGGCGCTCTTCATTCGCGAACGCAGATGACCGATGATGCTCGTAACCCTCCCACGCCCTTGCTGGCTTGGTAATAGGCTCAGACAAGCGCAGCCACGTGACGCGGCAGAAGAAAAACGCTCGGAAAGAGCGCTTCCAGCCCCAAAATGCGGAAGGATCCGCCCATGAACAGGAAGTGCAGCGGGCGCTCTTCATTCGCGAGCGCCGATGATCTATGATGCTTGCAATCCTCCCATGCCCTTGCTGGCTTGGTAATAGGACCAGATAAGCGCACCCACGTGACCCGATAGAAGAAAAACGCTCAGAACGAGCGCTTCCACCCCCAAAACGCGGAAGGATCCGCAGATGTGCACGAAGTGCAGCGGCGCTCTTCATTTGCGAGCGCCGATCACCGATGATGCTCGCAACCCTCCCACGCCCATTTTAGCTTGGTAATAGGACCAGACAAGCGGAGCCACATGACCCGGCGGAAGAAAAACGCTCGGAAAGAGCGCTTTAAGCCCCAAAATGCGGAAGGATCCGCCCATGTGCTAGAAGTGCAGCGCGCGCTCTTCATTCGCGAGCGCTGATGACCGATGATGCTCGCAACCCTCCCACGCCCTTGCTGGCTTGGTAATAGGCTTAGACAAGTGCAGCCTTTGACCCGGCAGAAGAAAAACTCTCGGAACAAGCGCTTCCACCCCCAAGACGCGGAAGGATCCCCACATGTGCAGGAAGTGCAGCGGGCGCTCTTCATTCACGAGTGACGATGACCGATGATGCTCGCAGCCCTCCCACCCCCTTGCTGTCTTGGTAATAGCCCAGACAAGCGCAGCCACGTGACCCGGCCGAAGAAAAACGCTCGGAACGAGCGCTTCCACCACCAAAACGCGGAAGGATCCGCACATGTGCAGGAAGTGCAGCAGGCGCTCTTCATTCGCAGGCGCCGATGACCGATGATGCTCGCAACCCTCCCACGCCCTTGCTGGCTTGGTAATAGGCCCAAACCAGCGCAGCCAGGTGACCTGGCAGAAGAAAAACGCTCGGAACGAGCGCGTTTACCCCCAAAACACGGAAGGATCCGCACATGTGCAGGAAGTGCAGCGGGCGCTCTTCATTCGCGAGCGCCGATGACCTATGATGCTCGCAACCCTTCCACATATCAAAATCCTAGCGTGAGTTTGGCTTAGGAGCCATAGTTTAGGAGCCTTGGTAGTTGAGTTCGAGTTTAGGAAAAGTATCGAGAGGTTTGGAAGGAGAGGAATGGGGTTTCACTAGCAAGAGTTGGGATACAAGTACAACACCCTAAATTGGGTTGTACTCATTACAGAGTACCCCACTGCAGGCTAGACAGCAAATACATTCTGACACACCCCCATAGCCAAAGTGGGGTGTAATCAGCACAATGAGCAAGCATAGAGCAAGAGTTCACAATAGGTAAGTAAGGCTAGAGCTAATCACAGAGGGCAAGTGAGGAGGAGGAGAGACTGTGGGGGAGAGAAGATGGGAGGCGACTGCTGACGCTGCAGACACACAGACGAGCTGCTGGCTCAGTGGCTACCGGAACAGCGCTCCGGACTACTGGGGTAACTGGCCCCGCGGCTAAAAGTAGCGGCAGACGAGCAACGGACCCACGGGCGACTGGCGACTACCGGAGATTGTAGCCTCCGGACTGCTGCTGCTGCTGACGACAAGACTGCTGCCTCCACTCGACCTCCCCAGCTGCCTAACGCCCTTCTCACACACCCCCTGCTCAAACCCTAGCCCTACACCCACAGCACCCCCTTAAACCCTAAACCCCAGACTCCCACACATCCACCCCCCTCAGCGAGAGCTGCAGCAGTGGGAGACGAAGGAGGAGGAGGAGGAGGGAACGGCACGCACAAACGACACCCCCACAACCATCACCCCCACACCCACCCCCCCACGGCTGCACCGGGTCCAGGAGCGGCTGCTGCAGGGGCCAGGGGCGGCTGCTGCTGGGGCGGCTGCTCCAGGGGCTGCTGCTGCTGGGGCGGCTGCTCCAGGGGCTGCTGCTGCTGAGGCGGCTGCTCCAGGGGCTGCTGCTGCTGGGGCGGCTGCTCCAGGGGCTGCTGCTGCTGGGGCGGCTGCTCCAGGGGCTGCTGCTGCTGGGGCGGCTGCTCCAGGGGCTGCTGCTGCTGGGGCGGCTGCTGCTGGGGCGGCTGCTCCAGGGGCTGCTGCTGCTGGGGCGGCTGCTCCAGGTGCTGCTGCTGCTGGGGCGGCTGCTCTAGGGGCTGCTGCTGCTGGGGCTGATGCTGCTGGGGCGGCTGCTCCAGGTGCTGCTGCTGCTGGGGCGGCTGCTCCAGGGGCTGCTGCTGCTGGGGCTGCTGCTGCTGGGGCGGCTGCTGCTGGGGCGGCTGCTCCAGGGGCTGCTGCTGCTGGGGCGGCTGCTCCAGGGGCTGCTGCTGCTGGGGCGGCTGCTCCAGAGGCTGCTGCTGCTGGGGCGGCTGCTCCAGGGGCTGCTACTGCTGGGGCGGCTGCTTCAGGGGCTGCTGCTGCTGGGGCGGCCGCTGCAGTGGCGGCGGCTCCAGGGGTTGCTGCTGCTGGGGCGGCTGCTCCAGGGGCTGCTGCTGCTGGGGCGGCTGCTCCAGGGGCGGCTGCTGTTGCAAGGCAGGCCGCTCCAGGGGCGGCTGCTTCAGGGGCGGCGGCTCCAGGGGCGGCTGCTACAGCGGAAAGTAGGAGGGAGGGGAGGGGAAGGGCGCGGCCCCCATTGTGCCCTGACGGGCGATGTGCTAGGGAGCCGCGCAGGTCCCCAAAAGTGCCTCGACTGGCAACGAGAGGGGACCGCGCGCATGCCCCTAAGGCGCCGCGACGAGGCAACAGGAGGGGCCGGCTCGCGGGCCCCGAAAGTGCCGCGACGAGGCGACGGGAGGGACCTGCGTGCAGGCCCCCAAAACGCCTCGACGAGGCGACGGTCGGGGCCAGTGCGCGGGCCCCTAAGACGCCGCGACGAGGTAGGAACCCGCCGCGCGCCTCGGGGCGCACGGCGGGCAGAAAACCGCCACGCGCTCCGAGCGCGTGGCGGGAAGAAAAATGGGATGTCGCGCGCCACGGGGCGCGCGACACACAGTAGGGCAGCGGAATCGAGTGGGCCCACAGGCCAGGAACGTTAAGCTCTGATACCATATCAAAATCCTAGCGTGAGTTTGGCTTAGGAGCCATAGTTTAGGAGCCTTGGTAGTTGAGTTCGAGTTTAGGAAAAGTATCGAGAGGTTTGGAAGGAGAGGAATGGGGTTTCACTAGCAAGAGTTGGGATACAAGTACAACACCCTAAATTGGGTTGTACTCATTACAGAGTACCCCACTGCAGGCTAGACAGCAAATACATTCTGACACCACAACCTTGCTGGCTTGCTAGTAGGACTACACAAGCGTAGCCATGTGACCCACTGGAAGAAAAACTCTACGAACGAGCGCTTCCACCCCTAAAACGCGGAAGGATCCGCACATGTGTAGGAAGTGTAGCAGGCGCTCTTCATTCGCGAGCGCCGATGACCGATGATGCTCGCAACCCTCCCACACCCTTGCTGGCTTGGTAATAGGCCCAAATAAGCCCAGCCAGGTGACTTGGCAGAAGAAAAACGCCCGGAACGAGTGCGTCCACCCCCGAACGCGAAAGGATCCGCACATGTGCAGGACGTGCAGCGGGCGCTCTTCATTTGCGAGCGCTGATGACCAATAATGCTCGCAACCCTCCCACGCCCTTGCTGGCTTGGTAATAGGACCAGGCGAGCGCAGCCACGTGACCCGGCGGAAGAAAAACGCCCAGAACGAGCGCTTCCACCCCCAAAACGCGAAAGGATACGCACATGTGCAGAAAGTGCAGCGGATGCTCTTCATTCGCGAGCGCCGATGATGCTCGCAACCCTCCCACGCCTTTTCTGGCTTGGTAATAGGCTCAGACATGCGTAGCCACGTAACCCGGCGGAAGAAAAACGCTCGGAAGGAGCGCTTGCAGCCCCAAAATGCGGAAGGATCCGCACACGTGCAGGAAGTGTAGCGGGCGCTCTTCATTCGCGAGCGCCGATGACCGATGTTGCTCGCAACCCTCCCACGCCCTTGCTGGCTTGGTACTAGGCCCAGACAAGCGCAGCCACGTAACCCGGCAGAAGAAAAACTCCCGGAACGAGCGCTTTTAGCCCCAAAATGCGGAAGGATCCGCCCATGTGCAGGAAGTGAAGCGGGTGCTCTTCATTCGCGAGCGCCGATGACCGATGATGCTTGCAATCCTCCCACGCAATTGCTGGCTTGGTAATAGGCTCAGACAAGCGTAGCCACGTGACCCGGCAGAAGAAAAACGCAGGGAAAGAGCGCTTCCGGCACCAAAATGCGGAAGGATCCGCACATGTGCAGGAAGTGCAGCGGACGCTCTTCATTCGCGAGCGCCGATGATGCTCGCCTCCCACGCCTTTGCTGGCTTGGTAGCAGGCTCAAACAAGCGTAGCCACGTGATCCGGCGGAAGAAAAACGCTCGGAAAGAGCACTTCCAGCCCCAAAATGCGGAAGGATCCGCCCATGTGCAGGAAGTGCAGCGGGCGCTCTTCATTCGCGAGTGCCAATGACCGATGATGCTCGCAACCCTCCCACGCCCTTGCTGGCTTGGTAGTAGGACCAGACAAGCGTAGCCACGAGACCAGGCAGAAGAAAAACGCTCGGAACGAGCGCCTCCGGCCCAAAAATGCGGAAGGATCCGCACATGTGCAGGAAGTGCAGCTGGCGCTCTTCATTCGCGAGCGCCGATGACCGATGATGCTCGCAACCCTCCCACGCCCTTGCTGGCTTGGTAATAGGCCCAGACTAGGGCAGCCACGTGACCCGGCAGAAGAAAAACGATCGGAACGAGCGCTTCCGACTCAAAAATGCGGAAGGATCCGCACACGTGCAGGAAGTGCAGCGGACGCTCTTCATTCGTGAGCGCCGATTACCGATGACGCTCTTCATTCCATCTCCCCGCCACATTCTCCCGCTTTCCATCACCCCACCCCATTCTCCCGCTTTCCATCACCCCGCCCCATTCTCCCGCTTTCCATCACCCCGCCCCATTCTCCCGCTTTCCATCACCCCGCACCATTCTCCCACTTTCCATCACCCCGCCCCATTCTCCCGCATTCCATCACCCCGCCCCATTCTCCCGCATTCCATCACCCCGCCCCATTCTCCCTCCTTCCATTACCCCGCCACATTCTCCCTCCTTCCATCGCCCCGCCACATTCTCCCGCTTTCCATCATCGCGCCCAATTTTTCCGCTTTCCATCACCCCGCCCCATTCTCTCGCTTTCCATCACCCCGCTCCAATCTCTCGCTTTCCATCACCCCGCCCCATTCTCCCTCCTTCCATCACCCCGCCCCATTCACCCTCCTTCCATCACCCCGCCCCATTCTCCCGCTTTCCATCACCCCGCCCCAATCTCCCGATTTCCATCACCCCTCACCATTCTCCCGCTTTCCATCACCCCGCCCTATTCTCCCGCTTTCCATCAACCCGCCCCATTCTCCCGCTTTCCATCACCCCGCCCCATTCTCACGCTTTCCATCACCCCGCCCCATTCTCCCGCTTTCCATCACCCCGCCCCATTCTCCCACTTTCCATCACCCCGCCCCATTCTCCAGCTTTCCATCACCCTGCCCCATTCTCCCTCCTTCCATCACCCCGCCCCATTCTCCCTCCTTCCATCACCCCGGCCCATTCTCCCGCTTTCCATCACCCCGCCCCATTCTCCCGCTTTCCATCACCCCGCCCCATTCTCCCGCTTTCCATCACCCCGCCCCATTCTCCCGCTTTCCATCACCCCGCCCCATTCTCCCGATTTCCATCACCCCGCCCCATTCTCCCGCTTTCCATCACCCCGCCCCATTCTCCCGCTTTCCATCACCCCGCCCCATTCTCCCGCTTTCCATCACCCCGCCCCATTCTCTCGCTTTCCATCACCCCGCTCCAATCTCTCGCTTTCCATCACCCCGCCCCATTCTCCCTCCTTCCATCACCCCGCCCCATTCACCCTCCTTCCATCACCCCGCCCCATTCTCCCGCTTTCCATCACCCCGCCCCAATCTCCCGATTTCCATCACCCCGCACCATTCTCCCGCTTTCCATCACCCCGCCCTATTCTCCCGCTTTCCATCAACCCGCCCCATTCTCCCGCTTTCCATCACCCCGCCCCATTCTCACGCTTTCCATCACCCCGCCCCATTCTCCCGCTTTCCATCACCCCGCCCCATTCTCCCACTTTCCATCACCCCGCCCCAATCTCCAGCTTTCCATCACCCCGCCCCATTCTCCCTCCTTCCATCACCCCGCCCCATTCTCCCTCCTTCCATCACCCCGGCCCGTTCTCCCTCCTTCCATCACCCCGGCCCGTTCTCCCGCTTTCCATCACCCCGCCCTATTCTCCCGCTTTCCATCACCCCGCCCCATTCTCCCGCTTTCCATCACCCCGCCCCATTCTCCCGCTTTCCATCACCCCGCCCCATTCTCCCGCTTTCCATCACCCCGCCCCATTCTCCCGCTTTCCATCACCCCGCCCCATTCTCCCGCTTTCCATCACCCCGCCCCATTCTCCCGCTTTCCATCACCCCGCCCCGTTCTCCCGCCTTCCATCACCCCGCCCCGTTCTCCCGCCTTCCATCACCCCGCCCCATTCTCCCGCTTTCCATCACCCCGCCCCATTCTCCCGCTTTCCATCACCCCGCCCCATTCTCCCTCCTTCCATCAACCGGGAGATGCTCCTGACCTTCTAAACTGACGCTAGCTTCAACTCTGTGAAGACGGATGGCACCAGCATTGGAAGCTATGTGTGCCTGTTTGAAGGTGGTGCAGTGAGGTTGCGCAGCAAGAAGCAGAACGAGGTGGGGCTGTCCTTGTGTGAGTCATAATACATGGCACATGTGCACTTTCTGCACATGTGCAAATCCTTCCGCGTTTTGGGGTTAGAAGCGCTCATTCCGAGCGTTTTTCTTCCGCCGGGTCACATGGCTGCGCTTGTCTTGTCCTATTACCAAGCCAGCAAGGTCGTGGGAGGGTTGCCAGCATCATCGGTCATCTGCGCTCGTGAATGAAGAGCGCCCGCTGCACTTCCTGCTCATGTGCGGATCCTTCCGCATTTTAGGGCTAGAAGCGCTCGTTCCGAGCGTTTTTCTTCCGCCGGGTCACATGGCTGCGCTTGTCTTGTCCTAGACAAGCACTTGAACCAAGCCGAAAAGGCTCTAGTATGTGTATTTGAACATGGGCCACTTGAATATGCAATAAATTTCACGTTGCTGAATGCTTTTCCCTACGCCTAAAGGGATGCACGCGCTTTCTAGGCACTTGGCGGCAAAAAAAACCGAAATCGTAGGCGCCGAACCTTTCTTCACGCAAGAACCAAGCCGAAAAGGCTCTAGTATGTGTATTTGAACATGGGCCACTCGAATATGCAATGAAATTCATGTTGTTGAATGCTTTTCCCTACGCCTATAGGGATTCACATCGGAAAAAACGGCCGAAATCGTAGTCGCCGAACTTTTCTTCGCGCAAGAACCAAGCCGAAAAGGTTTTAGTATGTGTATTTGAACATGAGCCACTGGACTATGCAATAAAATTCAGGTTGTTGAATGCTTCTCCCTACACTTATAGGGATTCACGCGCTTTCTAGGCACTTGGCTGCAAAAACGGCCAAAATTGTAGGCGCCGAACTTTTCTTCGCGCAAGAACCAAGCCGAAAAGGCTCTAATAGGTGTATTTGAACATGGACCACTCGAATATGCAATAAAATTCAGGTTGTTGAATGCTTTTCCCTACGCCTATAGGGATTCACGCGCTTTCTAGGCACTTGGCGGCAAAAACGGCCGAAATCGTAGGCGCCGAACTTTTCTTCGCGCAAGAATCAAGCCGAAAAGGCTCTAGTATGTGTATTTGAACATGGGCCACTCGAATATGCAATAAAGTTCAGGTTGTTGAATGCTTTTCCCTATGCCAATAGGGATTCACGCGCTTTCTTGGAACTTGGCGGCAAAAACGGCCGAAATCGTAGGCGCCGAACTTAAGTTTGGAGCAAGAACCAAGCTGAAAAGGCTCTAGTATGTGTATTTGAACATGGGCCACTCGAATATGCAATACAATTCAGGTTTTTGAATGATTTTCCCTACGCCTATAGGGATTCACGCGCTTTCTAGGCACTTGGCGGCAAAAACGGCCGAAATCGTCGGCGCCGAACTTTTCTTCGCGCAAGAATCAAGCCGAAAAGGCTCTAGTATGTGTATTTGAACATGGGCCACTCGAATAAGCAATAAAATTCAGGTTGTTGAATGCTTTTCCATACGCCTATAAGGATTCACGCGCTTTCTAGGCACTTGGCGGCAAAAACGGCCGAAAACGTATGCGCCGAACTTTTCTTCGCGCAAGAACCAAGCCGAAAACGCTCTAGTATGTGTATTTGAAGATGGGCCACTCGAATATGCAATAAAATCCAGGTTGTTGAATGCCTTTCCCTACGCCTATAGGGATTCACGCGCTTTCTAGGCACTTGGCGGCAAAAACGGCCGAAATCGTAGTCGCCGAACTTTTCTTCGCGCAAGAACCAAGCCGAAAAGGCTCTAGTATGTGCATTTGAACATGGGCCACTCGAATATGCAATGAAGTTCAGGTTGTTGAATGCTTCCCTACGCCTTTAGGGATTCACGCGCTTTCTTGGCACTTGGCGGCAAAAACGGCCGAAATCGTAGGCGCCGAACTTCTTTTTGCTTAAGAACCAAGCCAAAAAGGCTCTAATAGGTGTAACTGAATATAAGCCACTCGAATATGCAATAAAATTCAGGTTGTTGAATGATTTTCCCTACACCTATAGGGATTCACGCGCTTTCTAGGCACTTGGCGGCAAAAACGGCCGAAATCGTAGGCGCTGAACTTTTCTTCGCACAAGAATCAAGCCGAAAAGGCTCTATTATGTGTATTTGAACATGGGCCACTCGAATAAGCAATAAAATTCAGGTTGTTGAATGCTTTTCCCTACGCCTATAGGGATTCACGCGCTTTCTAGGCACTTGGCGGCAAAAACGGCCGAAATCGTAGGCGCCGAACTTTTCTTCGCGCAAGAATCAAGCCGAAAAGGCTCTAGTATGTGTATTTGAACATGCGCCACTCGAATATGCAATAAAATTCAGGTTTTAAATGCTTTTCTATACGCCTATAGGGATTCACGCGCTTTCTAGGCACTTGGCGGCAAAAACGGCCAAAATCGTAGGCGCCGAACTTTTCTTCTCGCAAGAATCAAGCCGAAAAGGCTCTAGTATGTGTATTTGAACATGGGCCACTCGAATATGCAATAAAATTCAGGTTGTTGAATGCTTTCCCTACGCCTATAGGGATTCACGCGCTTTCTAGGCACTTGGCTGCAAAAACGGCCGAAATCGTATGCGCCGAACTTTTCTTCGCGCAAGAATCAAGCCGAAAAGGCTCTAGTATGTGTATTTGAACATGGGCCACTCAAATATGCAATAAAATTCAGGTTTTTGAATGCTTTTCCCTACGCCTATAGGGATTCACGCGCTTTCTAGGCACTTGGCGGCAAAAACGGCCGAAATCGTATGCGCCGAACTTTTCTTCGCGCAAGAACCAAGCCGAAAAGGCTCTAGTATGTGTATTTGAACATGGGCCACTCGGATATGCAATACAATTCAGGTTGTTGAATGCTTTTCCCTACCCCTATAGGGATTCACGCGCTTTCTGGGCACTTTTCCCTACGCCTAAAGGGATCCATGCGCCTTCTAAGCATTTGTCGGAAAAAAACGGCCGAGATCGTGGGCGCCGAACTTTTCCTTGCGCAAGAACCAAGCCAAAAAGGCTCTAATAGGTGTATTTGAACATGAGCCACAAGAATATGCAATAACATTCAGGTTGTTGAGTGCTTTTCTCTACGCCTATAGGGATTCATGCACCTTCTAAGCATATGTCGGCAAAAACGACCGCAATCGTGGACGCCGAACTTTTCCTTGCGTAAGATCCAGGCCGAAAGAGCTCTTATAGGTGTATTTGAACATGGGTCATTCGAATATGCAGTAACATTCAGGTTGTTGAGTGCTTTTCCCTGCGCCTATAGAGATTCATGCGCCTTCTAAGCATTTGTCGGCAAATTCGACCGAAATCATGGGCTGCGAACTTTTCCTTGGTCAAGAAAAAAGCCAAAGAGGCTCTAATATGTGTATTTGAACATGGGTCACTCGAATATGCAGTGACATTCAGGTTGTTGAATGCTTTTCTCTACGCGTATAGGATTCATGCGCATACTAAACATTTGTCGGCAAAAACAGCAGAATCATAGGCGCCAAACTTTTCCTTGCGCAAGAACCAAGCCGTAAAGGATCTAGTAGGTGTACTTGAACATGAGCTACTCAAATTTGCAATAACATTCAGGTTGTAGAATGCTTTTGCCTACGCCTATAGGGATTTATGCACCTTTTAAGCAGTTGTCGGCAAAAACAGCCGAAATCATAGGTGCCGAACTTTTCCTTGCGCGACAACCAATCCGTAAAGGCTTTAGTAGGTGTATTTGAACATGGGCCACTCAAAAATGCAGTAGAATTCAGGTTGTTGAATGCTTTTCCCTATGACTATTGGGATTCATGCACCTTCTAAGCATTTGTCGGCAAAAACGGCCGAAATCGTGAGCGCCGAACTTTTCCTTGCGTGAGAACCAAGCCAAAAAGGCTCTAATATGTGTATTTCAACATGGGCCACTCGAACACGCAGTAACTTTCAGGTTTTCAAATGCTTCCTACGCCTACAGAGATTCATGCGCCTTCTGAGCATTTGTCGGCGAAGTCGACCAAAATCGTGGCCGCTGAACTTTTCCTTGCGCGAGAACCAAGCCAAAAAGGCTCTAATAGGTGTATTTGAACATGAGCCACAAGAATATGCAATAACATTCAGGTTGTTGAGTGCTTTTCCCTACGCCTAAATGAATTCATGCGCCTTCTAAGCATCTGTCGGCAAAAACGGCCAAAATCTTGGGCGCCGAACTTTTCCTTGCGCAAGAACCAAGCCAAAAAGGCTCTAATAGGTGTATTTGAACATGGGTCACTCGAATATGCAGTAACGTTCAGATTGTTGAATGCTTTTCCCTACGCCTATAGAATTCATGCGCCTTCTGAGCATCTGTCGGCAAAAATGGCCGAACTCTGGGGCGCCGAACTTTTCCTTGCAAAAGAACCAAGTCGAAAAGGCTCTAATAGGTGTATTTGAGCATTGGACACTCGAATTTGCAGTAGCATTCAGGGTGTTGAGTGCTCTTCTCTACGCCTATAGGATTTTTGCGGATACTAAGCATCTGTCTGCAAAAACAGCAAAATCATAGGCGCCAAACTTTTCCTTGCGCAAGAACCAAGCCGTAAAGGCTTTAGTAGGTGTACCTAAACATGAGCCACTCGAATATGCAATAACATTCAGGTTGTGGAATGCTTTTGCCTACGCCTAGGGATTCATGCGCCTTCTAAGCAATTGTCGCCAAAAACAGCCGAATCATAGGCGCCGAACTATTCCTTGCGCAACAACCAAGCCGGTTCTAGTAGGTGTACTCAAATATGGGCCACTCGAATATGCAATAACATTCAGGTTGTAGAATGCTTTTGCCTACGCATATAAGGATTCATGCGCCTTCTAAGCATTTGTCGGCAAAAACGACCGAAATCGGAGGCGCCGAACTATTCCTTGCGCAAGAACCAAGCCAAAAAGGCTCTAGTAGGTGCGATTGAACATGG